ATAAAAGTACTGGTTTATCATTGTAAAATGCATGTATAATTGACAAGGGGTTTATCATGGCAAAACCATGTGAAAAATGATTTGAGAGCAAAACATATATTTCGTTTGCCTAGCTGTAGTCGCCGCAGAGATGAAATATTATAACGCACACGTTTTCTTCATTCCTAGATACAATATCTCGTTTCGTTTTCAGCTCCCACTGAAAGGCACATCTTGCGAATTCGGCTCAAAATTATCGTGGCGAACAAAAGTAATCTTCTCGTTTTCCCGCGTGTTTTCGACGCGTGTCACTGATCGACTAATGGAGCAGAAATGATCGAGCATTCAATCTATATTCCGTTGCGTTCGACTTCGCTTTCGAACATACGATCTTCCTTAATACGCGAGTCACGCTTTGCGAAATCTCTCGAAGTCTCGTCGATTTATTTTGCCAAGAGTAATTCGTATTCTTCGCAACATCCTTCTCTACTCCCGTGAAATCGAAATAGCTGCTCACCGCACGACACAAATCGATCTTTAACCCTCTCCACGGTCAACCCTCGTATATTACTTTTCCGTCACTTCGTATATTTTCATTATATTGTTTGATGAAATTATAATAGATAGTACAAGAGAAAGTAATATTATAGCATGTCCTTCCCATTTCTTCTTTTTTTATTTTTAATAAAATATTTTAATTAAATAAATAAGAGAGAGAGAGAGATGTAGAAGAGATGTATAATTATATAATCAAACGAACTTACTGAGTGAGGTTCGATTCGAATTATGTTGGTGGTCTTGTCCGTATGGATAATGTAGTATAGCGTCTCTGCTACGTGTAGTCCCTTGGCGCGTCTGCATGTCATTTGTTGAGAGAAGAACAAATCGCCTAGGATGAGCTTGTCTCCTTAATCTTAAACTGGGAGGGTTGAGAGTTATTAAGGGTGAGACGACTCCATACGCACAAGATCACCAGCATAATTCAAATCGAACCTATCCACTTAATGAGTTCGTTTGATTATATAATTATGCTTTGTGGTCTTGTCCGTATAGATAATGTAGATGTTTAGAAGGCGATTTGTTTCCTTACTAAGCAGAAAGCTTGAACTCCCTTTTTAAGTTCTCTAGTTCTAGTCACGAAACGTTTATAGGTTGTTATTTATGCGTGATAACGTTAACAGAATAATATGTCTATCCATAAGGAATCGTAAATATACGAATACAAAGCAAAAGTCTCAAATTAAGTGGTACATATACAATATATGTATAACTGTGAGGAAATATATAAGAAGCCCTAAATTAAGGAAGTAGTATTGAGTTATTAAACTCTTCTGAATTAATAATTAGTCGGTTATAAAAACGTGCGAAAATCTGCGACGATTCTGATCAACCCGCTTTATTAGATCCACTATTACGCCCTTCTATGCAACTAAGGAGGTTGAGGCATGACATGTACTGTGCGGCGTAAACAAATCAGTTCTAACCCCGCAGTCTTCTATAAGCTTAAACGTATTCAGCGTAATGGTCTGCTGACCTACTGCTTTATGGGGACGAACGAGAGAAATGAAGAAGGTATCGCCTAAAGAAGTCCTAAAGAAGTCTCGCGCTTCGCGTTCACTTGACGCGAGACACTACCGTGTCTCTTGATATAAGTAATTTAAATAAAAAATTTTTAATTACATATATCAAAGAAATTTAATTAATTTTTAATTTAATATCCTTATAATAATGTTTTAGCTATGTATATAAATACCAATTAAATGTTCTCAGATATCTCCAAAATTAGCGTCATTAAAACAAATACAAATTTCTCTCTGTGGAGAATATTCATTCATCACATAAAGAATGACTATCGATTTGCGTCAGATATGCCGTCTATATTGGCACGAACTTCTACTGAAGAAGACGCGTGCAAGAGTGCGACGTAATGAACAAAACCGGTTTTTTACTTTACAGGTGGGCGATACATCGTGCTACTCGTTCAACGAAAATCTAAAACACTTCCCCGCTAGACATTCTTTCGTACGTAAAATAGGTCATATCGGAAGAAACGAAAGGAATTTCCGCATTAATCGTCAGCTGATCATTGTTACGTGAAATTCATTAGCGCAGAGCATTCACGGAACAATTCGATCTAAATAATTTAAAGCAATAAATGCAGAATAATTGGCAAAAATTAATATGCAAATTATATGTAACATAAAACACATAATGCGTATGTTATCAAATCTCCTATTGTTTAATGATAAAGATAATAGAGCTATTATTTAACATAACAATCATCCTATGACCTAATTTCGAATGCAACTACTCTCTATACAAGCGCGGAAATGAAAATCCAATTGCAAATCAATAGTTAGTTGCAGATTTATAAATTCCGTTACAGAGTCACAACATAATTTAACGATTGCTACGCGAATGATATTCAGCTCTGTGACACAGCTACAAATTATCATATATGTATAAGACAGACACGTTATAAGCAAAAGAGAAAAAAAAACTTTATTAACTCTTTCGATTCTCATCAATGGCTCTTAGAATCGTCGACCACACCTCCGTTAGATTCTTCAATTCGTCTGCTGCACTTTCACCGGTCATTTATTTTCCAAAAACTTTCGTCGGTTGTCGGCATACTTTTAACGATTGTTTAACGACTATCGATTCGACGACAATGACATCTGTAAAATTTAAAATTTGATGAAATTTGTAACTTATTGATAAGAATAAATATCATATTTTAATTAATTAATCTCACCATTATTAAAAATTAATATCATAGTGATAATTTATTTTCAAAGATATCCAATTCAGATTCCAATTAAGATTCAAATATACATAATTATTCAGAAAGTTACTTATATAATAATATTTATAACATTCCTAATTAATGTGAATTCAATAGATATTAGTGTATCATTTTTTCACAATCCTGTCATTTTCAACACTGAACATCTTGTATATTTGTAACTATAAGAGCTACAGTTTTTGTGACAACAAAAACTATTTCCAAAATTAATACGAAATACTACAAAAAAGGCATTATTATTCGTTTTTGTTTCTAACGCACGAAAAAAGGATTTTTATCAATTGTGATTGTAACATAAAAATTATACGTTTATTTTTCATGATAAATAAAATAAACTCAACAATAAAAATACCACATAAAAAATTTAAATAATAGCTGCAAAGTTCATTATTACACTACATATTCCACGTGGAAATATATCGCTAACAATTCTGTACAACATGAGTATACAAAATGAGAGCAGACACTGTAAGATAATCGATTAGTCAATTCCCGCAGCTTCACTTAGGTTGGTTAATTACTTTCGTCGTTTAAACCATACCATCTATCGCTTATAAATAGCTCAACTTTGTGATCGGATCCTCTCATCAAGTTCCACCAAGATGTAATTTCATAATTGGCAAATAAGATCGGTGTATAACGGTTAATCGAGGGTTAGCTAATTTACTGTCACGGTCTGTGCATGGGACGTTAAGACATAACGACAGCCTAGCGCGGTCCAATATATCGAGCTCGTCGTGAAACTGTATTAATTCGTCGGCTTTTTGTCGATCGATCGACGGTAGGAGGCTCTGAGAAAATACGAGCGAGAGACGAGCAAGATTGTTATAGAAAGTACGGACGATAAATCTGACGTAAAACTGTGCAAGACGTGCTTTATTACGGTATTAAAAATTTTGACGAGGCTACCTTTCTCTTGATGGACCCTTTATAAAATCGCGAATTGCACATAACAAACGTCTGTACTTAGTTTATAACGCGGAATTCACAACTCGTTTCCATAGATTTATTAAAATTGTCATTATTGCCTGCTGAATCTTCATTTTTCTTTCATTCGTGTTTTATTCTTTTTGCTACAATAAGTACGCCTTTTTATGATGGAATAAAAAAACAGTTATACGTCTAATTATTTTAAACAATTAAAAGATGTTAAATATATATGTATATCACATAAGATAGATCGACAAATTAATTTGAAATTGTCTAGCGAGATAAAAATAGAATACCGACTGCAGCAGAACATCTAGAAGCAGAACGAGACACATGTAGTATGCGTATATGTACATATGGTACATACACACATGATGAACAGAATAACGCCACAATACAATTTGCCGGCACATATGTATATGCAAACAAAAAACAGTCAATTGTATATGTAGCGGGCAAGAGAACTTTATTAACGTCGGACTATATACATGTACGTGATACAATATATCGTTCGTGGTATGCAGTTCGTTGTAGATACAACTGCTGCATTCAATTACGAGAGTGCATCGGATAGGTCAATGTGCTTCGCAGGAAATGTCCGAGGCGCGATCGGTGCACTTCGCAAACGCGTGAAATTATATTAATTAGTTAGAAATTTCATTTTAGGCAATTTGAATGGAATAGTGTTTGCTGTAAAACAATTCCCTAAGAATTCTCGGAATTTCTACATTTATTCAAACTCGAGGTAAGATTAGAGAATTTTGTTGTAATGGAGCTAAATAAGAAATAATTATATTAAAATAAATTAGAGTGTAAACATTATATGCATATTGTAAATTTGTAACAGACAAAAAAAAATCATTCCACGATCGAGACTATATATTTTTTTTCTATTTGAGCCGCAAAATCTGTAAGATAGTCCTATAGAGAATTGGCTAACTATACGATATATTAACAATGAATTTCTGATGTGTATAATTGTTTTCTACTGTCATTCATATTTTTTTTTAAATAAAAACTCGCGGGACATACAATACGTGAATCTACGCACCATGCATACCACATTCATTGCTGATCGATTGCTAACATTTCTTAATTTACCGACATATAATAAAACGGCGTACGGCTCTATGTGAGACAATCAGAGTTACCGATATGACAAGGTGTATACACGCATTCTCGCAAGATGTCATTACCATCGTGAAATGTTGCGATTCTAAAAATATCAATTCGCTATTTACGTCATTCTGCTCGGCTTAGGTTGAGCTAGATGTCGTATCGACCGACCTGTAGCGTTTGACAGGTGGTACACATTTTGTCATAGCATATCATTGATAAGGCCGATGTATAGAAAATACTAAATACGCTCGAAAATGTGGCAGAAACGAGTGTTTACGTGCTTCTTTGTGTTCGTGATTTTTTTTGAGTTCACGTACTGTTATGATGTCAAGAGGTACTCGTTGCTAATGCCAAACGTGAAACCGAACAAGGTAAATATAATCTTTCAATTTTTTAATATAATATATACGAATAACACATACATATACATACATTTACGAACAAGTATACAGCATAATACAATCTAATATTATGTGATGATATATGTTTTTGCAACACAAAAATGTATAAAAATTAAGCAAATGACAGTCTGTTCGCAATCACATTACCTTTAATTTTTTTATGAAGATTTATATCTGCTACTTATAGTACTAGTTTATCATATAATAATTTTTTAATTTTTTAAAGTTTTTAATTATAAATTTTTAGAATAAAAAATTGTATCCAATACATTCTGTTACAGCCCGAATTATATTTATGCACTCCAGTTAGGATAGATTATGCAAAAAATTATTATATTATTGGCTTTGAACCAAATGCAACAATGGCAACAGCTCACCATATGCTTATCTATGGCTGCACCAAACCAGGTAGCTCAAAGCCAATTTGGAATTGCGGAGAAATGGCAAATGCTAAACGTATTCCAGATACTGCACCTGCTTGTAAAGAAGGAACTCAGGTAATACTAAGATATTATCAAATATATTTTACAAATATATTTTAGATAACTGTTGAAGAAAAAAATTTTCATTTGTTTATATAGATTATTTATGCATGGGCAAGAGATGCTCCTAAATTAGATTTACCAAAGGGAGTGGGCTTTAAAGTAGGTGGTGATTCTCCCATACAATATATTGTGTTACAAGTGCATTATGCACACATTGATCGCTTCAAAGATGGCAGTACAGATGATTCAGGTGTATTCCTGCATTATACAACGCAAACAATGGACAAACTAGCTGGAGTTATTTTGTTAGGTACAAGTGGATCCATACCACCTAGATCAACGGTACATATGGAATCATCTTGTGAAATAACAGAGAAGAAAACTATTTATCCATTTGCGTATAGAACGCATACGCATTCACTTGGAAAAGTCGTTTCTGGTTACGTAGTGAAGCCAAATGACGAGTGGATCGAACTGGGAAAGAGAGATCCACTGACTCCTCAAATGTTTTATCCAGTTACTAATAGAGTTCCAATTACGTTTGGTGATAAATTAGCTGCTCGTTGTACAATGCAAAGTACGCGCGATAGGATTACGTATATAGGTGGAACAAACGAAGATGAGATGTGTAATATGTATATTATGTATTATGTCAAGGAAGGGACTCCGCTTGAACGGAAACATTGCTTTACTGCAGGCCCTCCTTTGTTTTATTGGAAACAAGAGTTAAATAATATTCCTGACAAAGAGGCATCTACTTTATAATATGTCAAAAAATGGCATTTGGCACAAAATAGATCAATTCTATCATAAAGAATTAGACAAAATCCAATGTTTTCTGCAGATTATGTATCTAAATGCATTTGAATCCCATTAATGAGATAAGGCCCATATTTGAGGACCAAATCGTCTTAATAATTTATGGTTGATTTTTTATAGTAATTTATTTGTTTATTAATTATTATTTTTAATGCACCTTTTACCTATTCAATTATTTATTTTATCGATATTATTTGTTCAGTTTCAAAATAACTTCGCTGTTATCTCAACAAAAGAATGTCTATCATTTATTCAGCATATATATATATATGCAAAAATTATTCCCAATTAATTTCTAATCTAAATTAATTCCAAATTAATTTTTCTTTTGTGAGTTCTGTAATCAGGGTACATTGTACTTACTTTACGTAAATGTTTTAAAAGACTCAATATCAATTTATAATATTAGAATACCTCTTCTTGTCAATTGTTATAAATGTGACATATAACCATTCAAATTATTATATCTTATAACTTATTCTACAATAATTTATTCCACAAATTGCTGATTGACTATATGTAATAATATATGTAATTTGTGACAAAAGAAAGCCTAAAAATTGTCTATTATATAACTAATACAAATAGGAAGCCTATAATAGTCTAGCTTGGATCTTTTAATCGCTTACATATAAACTACCGCGATACTATCACGAATTAAATTAAATTAATAATTAACTAATATATACGTAGTCTAATTGGCTAGGACACTTGCGCGTAAAGCAAGGTATCCGAGTTCGACTCCCGGCCGGGGTAATATTTTTCGCAATAAGAATAATTTTCAGATTATTAGAGTTGCGTTTCAAGACCGACGATTGTTCGGCGCACAATTTGGGGGGATTACGTATATTACTTAATTATTAATTTAATTTAATTCGTGATAATACCGCGATACTTTATATGTAAACGATTAAAAGATCAAAGCTAGACTGTTATACGCTTCGTATTTGTATTAGTTATGTTTTTACATTAACGGTCTTTAGTATTGAATACTATCTATTATAAACTTGCAAGTTGGCTAATCAGTTATTGGGCTTTGCAATATTCTTAACTGTAAAAAACTTCAAATTTATATAATTTAATTTTAAGTTTCATCATGTTTTATTTGATTAAAGTTATCATATACATGTATATTAAAGCGCCATGTAGATATAACAAGATAACATTAAACATAGATATAGTTTTAGTTAATATTTTTTATTACATACTTTTGCGAAGTTTTAAAATATTTTTTTTAAATTATTGGTATAGTACATGTTATATAAATTTTTCGATTATTTTAAAAATAAATTCATTGATATATAGCAATATTTTAGAATTTGAAAACCACTCATATAATACATAATTACATAACTGATAAAAAAACGCAACTGTTTATGATTTGTTATTCATGGTATATATGTATATATGTATATGTATGTGGCAAGAACACTATTTTCAACTGTTACAAAGTCTTTATTCTTTCAATATCTTGTCTGAACTGTACATATACAATGCTCAGGAATCTCTATTCCTTCAGACTGTGTAAGTTAAAAAGATATAGATATAATTATATTTAGAGCACTTTTTTCGCGATATCGTTTACAGATAATATTTATTTTCGATAATGTATAAATGTGGCAGTCGTCTCTGGAAAAATCTAAGTGTGAGACAATGTACATCAATAAATGATCTATGCCTACGCAAAAGTTGTTTGATTTCTTTTCTGTACAGGGGAGAATAGTCTAAATCGGACCTATTTGCAGTTTTTGTTCTCTATAAGGCGTAAAATTACCATGAAAAGTAACTGATATATTATTAATTAAAGGTGCATATAGGATTGTATAGGACTATCTGAATCACAATATAAGTTAGAAATTAAAAAGAAAATTAAGAAATACACATAATCTCTTTATTATAATACAGTTATATTTTTACTTAATCTATACTTTTAGCTGTAAATAACATATTTTGATAGAAAGAAAATTATAACGCTATAATTAAAATATATAACAGAAGTTTTGCAAAAAGGGGTGTTTTCCAATTGTTCAACATAAATGTACACAGAAATGTACAGAGAGTAAAGCTTTGTACACAGCTCAATTAGAACAACGATGTTTAGATTAAGATAAACTAAATGTAGCTTTTAGGCTAATTCTACAACGTGGTTTTTTTTTCCTGTTGCTTGTCTCCGTTTGTCTCTTGCCTTTTTGATTAAGAAGGCAAGAGACAAACAACAAGAAATAGGAAACAAAAAGCACATTGTAGAATTAGCCTTGCGCTTGTATTAAATAAAAACACACGATGTTCTACAACCACATTTATAGCTGTTGTAATTAATAACATGTAATTGTTATATAACAGAATAACGTATACAATCGTATGCAAAGTAATGATAAAAGTAACTGTAAATTTTGTTACCGTTATCCAAAAAATATAACTACGTTACTCCCCGTTACAGTTACCAAAAAAAGAAAGTAACGCAGTTACCAGTAAAGTTACTAAAAAAGTATAATAACTTGTAACTTCGTTACAAGTAACGAGTTACTTCCATTCCCTGAACAACACATGCAATTTATCTCTTATTGATGTATATATCGCGAATTTGATCCGTCAGCCACTCGATCGCTGGCTGTAGGCCCTCGCCAGTTAATGCATTCGTCGCCCGTATGTGCCAGGGTTTATTTTGTATTCTCTCGAGTCCCAGTCCAGCGACCAATTTTATGGTGGTCAAAGAATCGGGCAGGTCCATCTTGTTCGCTAGGAAGAGAATGGGTATCTTGCGTCCTGAAAAGTTTACTTCACTTTCAAGTCTCTTTTACTTAAGAAATTACGAATTGTGAAATACGAACATTCGAAAGGATCTAAATTCTAAATCTTCTAAATGATTGTCTATTTTGTCCTTCTGTGTTAAACAATAAGTAACTTTGCTATTAGAATTTCAATTTCGTCATCTACTATATGAAATCAGAAATGTACCTGCAACGTCGGGATGCTGCAGGAGCATGTCCAGCTCTTCCTTCACAACAACCAGTCGCAGTTTATCGCTGCTGTCAATAATGAAGATGATCCCGTGGCAATCTTTGTAATAATGCTCCCATAATGATCTGTGACGGTCGTGACCCGACATATCGAACGCGGTGAAACTGACATTTTTAACTGAAACAATAATAATTTCGGTTAATCGCTCTAATGAAATAAAAGCAAAACCCTAATAATTTACTATACGCGGATTATTGTATATATATTATTATTGTATTGTATATCATATATATAGTATTATATTATACATATATATAATATATACATATCTTTTCCTATTAGTTTTTACAGAATCACTTTAATTAAAATCTTGTTATTTTGCAATTTAACTTTACTCTTGGTTCAGATGTCTTTTAATAAATATCTTATAAAAGACGTCCTTTAGATATTTTATGCAACATATATATTCGAGACGCTTCATTTTTTTTCTGGTTTTTAGAATTAGAAAAAATTGAATAGTTAACAGAGATAAATGCGTAATCGACATTGGCGGAAACGAGCATCAGAAAACTAAGACACTATATTTTATATATTATATATAATTCTAATTTTTATAAATTTTTTAACTTTCTTCGTAGTAGTTTTCTAAAATAAAAATTCCTTCTCCACGATTTAAATATTCATGTTAATATACCTGCTCTTGGTCTATAATGTGCCCAAAGCTGAAAAAATATGAAATTACAGATTTCTTTATCCATTTTTATCCTCAGCGTTGATCGCCATATGGCTAAATGGATTAAGAATCTGTGATTTCATATTTTTTCCAGCTTTGAACACAAAATACACCAGCAGCAGGTACATTAGGGGCTACGCAGAATAAAAGGAACAGGGAACAGAGAATAAGAATTTCAACCTGTCAGAAATCAAGTACTGTGGAATAAACAGTGTGTATTCCATAGTACATGATTTCTGATAGGTTAAAATTCTTATTCTCTGTTCCCTGTTCCTTTTATTCTGCGCAGCCCCTTTTAGTTTAAATATTTTAATCGTGGAGAAGAAATTTTTATTCAGTGAAACTACTACAAAGAAATACTGGAATATTATTTATACTTAAATATTTTATCAACTCTTTATCTACTCATTACTTATGGAATTGATTAGCTTGATTTTAACTTATCAATGGCTGTATAAATAAATAAAAAAGCATTATTGATAACTTATCTGTAACAAAAATAAGTTTTATAAATAAATAAATTTAAAGAAATTAACGAATATATAAGTATTTGTTTTGTAGTATTTTTTGGATAAAAAAGAGACATGGATAAAAATTAATCTTTTAATTATTAATTTAACCATTAATCGAAACTTGATTAAAATTATCTTCAATCACCAATTGCATTAGAGTTTAGTCAAACTCGCCCTAAGAATAGTAGCGTTCACATTCAAACTAAAGAATAGCAGATCAATACGCCATCTAAAGAGGAAAACGTAGCAGTCGAGATATGAAAATAATTGAGAACTACAAATATTTTGGTACGAATGATATTGATATATTGATGTAATGATAACGGTTCTTAGAAAGGAAAATGGAAACGCCAAATTCCGTGAGCAGTTCGAATAACGACAATGAGAATATCGAGCTGGCAAACAGAGGTGTGTGAACTACTAATCAAACAAAGATCCTAACCTTACTAAAATAATAAGGAAGTTATTTTCTGACCTAGATGCGACAGCCGCAGAAAAGACAAAACTACTACGAGAAATAAACGAGCTGAGAAGCATCATCAAGCGATGCGAATTGAAGTTGCAAACTCGCTTCAAGGACATAGAGGATAATGTGAACGAGAGATCCTTGCAAAGTTTGGAAATTCCTTCGACATCCAGTAGAATACTGAATGTCGAGGATGATCTAAAGGATGATCTATATAGATTTGCTGGTTTCCATTGCGTTAAAGCTCAGAAGAATGAGTTTGTATTTAATTTCATGTCAACAAATGAAAAGCAAAAGAATGATACTCAAGCAGTTCAGATTTTTGTTAAGGACGGAAAGGCCGAACTGGGAAAATGGGTAATGCCAGTATCGATCGACATTAATGATATATTATCCAAAACGCCTATTGACAATTTAGATAATTTAAATCCCTTTCTAAAGAGCTGCAAGCATCATGTCGATTGTTACAATGAACGGCAAAGGCAATTCCTATTACTAAAGGTATATTTTTGCCTTATAAAAATAATTAATATGTAAAATAAATTGCTTTTGATTTGTAATATATAAAATAGGTAATGTTTATTTTTAGGAACATATGTCACATATAAAATATTGTACTTTGCAATCTGATATGGAATTTTTGCAAATCAGCTTGGAATTGTATAGTGTATACATTCGTGAAAATGACAGCTATATAAATTTAATAATACATTTGCTGTATCATTCTGACAATGTAAGACCTTATATGGTCAAGATTGATACAATAAATGAAAACGAGTTAAGCAGTGATATCAAACAAAGATTGAAGCCACATTTTATGAAATTTAAAATGTCAGACTTGCATACTGCTTTTGACGAGATTCTGTCAAAGGATAATTCTACATTTACATGGATGCAGAAAGATGATACTGATGAAAGTCTATTAGAACTGAACGTATGGCATTTAGATATAAAAATATTTAATGGATTTTATGGTTTATGAAAAAGAAAGATTAAAAAAAATTTTATTTTTAGGATACTGACAGCTCTGATGAAGAAAATTTCTTAGTTCAGCTACAATCTAAACACAAGAGATCGTTGAGGTCATTGGGAAAACGTGAATTACAAAAGCGGAATACCAGAAAAAAGCAAAAAATTGATAAAAATACTAAATCATCAGAAGATAATTCAACAGATAGTCAAGAAATTAGGTATCCAAAAACGAAAAAAGCACATACTAAAAGTTCACAGCAAATTTCGATAAAGAAAAATAAAGCAAAGAAGGCTACTTTTGTCTTAAGACAAAAGAAAATTAATAAAAATTCAGTAGAAACGACGTCATTGCACAGATCTAACAATAAGATTAAATTGAAACAGACAAAATTAAATTTCCAAACTCGAACGGATGAGGTTTCTAATAAAAATCAAACGTCTTCGTCTAAATCAAAACTAAGTAGTAAACCTGACAGCAAACAATCGAAGATCTCCAAACTAATCGCCAGTACACCACTACATAATCGTAAATATAAAGTAAAAAATGTACCTTCGTCACCTACTCTGGAGATTAGTAATATTACAAGTATTGAAGAGAAAACGGCAAATAAATTAGATTACTCCAAAGATAGAGATGAATTAGGAAAAGACTCCAGAAAAAGTTGATTAATTATTACGAAGTAATATAAAGGCTCCTGAATCATTAAAAATTTCGAACGTGTTTCAATGCCATACTAGAGGAATAAAAAACAAAAGATAAAAAATATGTAAGTTTAAAAAATTAATTGATTGTAACATATTTGCGCTCAACAGAATCAGACAAATATGTAAAGATGCTTCTGTTTTCTCACATTTTATTACACAATTTCCACATTCATATAAAAACAGGAGAATCAATTTCTTTGAAACCATTGTACTACACCATGTTACTTAGACTGTAAGATTATTCATCTCTATGACTTTGTAACATCTTAAAGAACCACTGAAGGACTCGTGAGTTCCAAAACGTTCAATATTATATTATTTTTTATATTCTTTATATATTTATTTTTATTTTTATGTTATATTAACATTATAAACTATAAAAAAATTGTATTACCTAATATGTATATATATATATGTGTGTGTGTGTGTGTATACAATTTCTTTACATATCAAATATGCATTTCGTAAGTATTTATACATTTTCATAACAATTTTTTATAGCATCATTCTCTCTATCCTACATTTTATTATAAAATAAGTAGACAATAATGTGATTTTAAGATTGTGCAGGTGCAAAAGCGGATGAGTGAATATAGCGTTGAAAGCAACAGAATCTCACATTTTTCACACGTTTTTGTCGCTTTTCGCTATTTAACTTACATGCGAATTTTTCGACATTAAACCCGACAGTGGGCACTATGTCTATGCAACGGTCATCTTCGCGTTTGAAATTATTTATGACCGTTGACTTACCACTGTTGTTAAGGCCCACTACTAAAACGTTTACTTCTTTTTTCCTAAGACCTAAAAGGTTCGCTAAACGATCGAATAACCCCATTTTCTCTCGGCGTTGTAAGTTTCCTCACATTTATTGAACATCAATAATCACCCCTACCCGCTTCTACATTTACGTTATTTGCGGATTAGAGTAGGGCTAGAGAAACAATCCCTTCCAATGTTTTACCTGCACCAATTGGGAATTCACGTTTGGAAGTCTTTGATGTGTTCTCAATTGACAAAAGACAATTTTTTGTTTTATTAATCAGATTATTTGATATGAATTTCTTTATTTTGAAAATAAAAAAGAATATTTAGATATTCTTTTCACAAGAAGAAAAATTATAGAACCTAGCTAACATTGCTAGGAATTTTTCTGAGAGCATTGTTACCAGTCTAGGGAATTTCATCCATTATGTCCGACTCGGAATGCACATGACATACGTTTTATATCTTGTATGTTAAAGTTTAAAGAAAAACGTGTCAGTCTATCAGCACAGTATATTGTCAGTGCGATTACTTTTATTGTATTTGTTTTTTTACGATAAGTTAAGCAAGACGAATCAAGATGGTAAGTTTTAATATGTATTTAATAAACATATCTTATTGCTATGTATATTTTTTAAAAACTCCACCGGCCCTTTAATTCATCTTGAGGATTATATAGTACACAATGTTTTCAAACTATTAATCTGGAATTCTTATTTCTTAATCCCTGGTATACAAGATTTTTTTATGTTATAATAAATTCATAGTCTCTAAACTTAACCTCAATCTTTTATCAAAACCAGCCAGTCTACCTACTGACTACTACATTTACCCTCACACACTCATGAGCATTATTTGTCCTTATTTAACATTTGATATCAAGAATGAAGTAATTTCCAGGATATAATATCATTTATAATTTCTTACCATTAAGAGTGTGAATCAAACTTTGTATTAGTTCATCACATTCATTATACAGTCATGTGTTACTCAGTTATTTTTATAGAATACTAATAGCTTAATGATTTTTTCACATTTCTAAAATAACAATGTAATTGCAGCCAAAGGGGAAAATAAAAAAATTTATTGACAAGAAAAATTCTGTAACATTCCACTTGGTTCATCGCTCACAAAAAGATCCATTAGTGGCAGATGAAACAGCACCACAAAGAGTGTTAGTTCCAGCTGCCGATACACAAGTGGCAAAAACAGAGAAAAAATCATCAGACAGTGAGACACGTAAAACAGAGCAACAGAAATATGGGATTTATTTTGATGACGACTATAATTATTTGCAACATCTTAGAGATGTCAATACATTGTCAGTGGAATGGGAACGTGTCGAGAACACGAATAATTCCAAATGCGACAAGAGTGCTCCAAAAATTAACTTACCATCTTCTGTATTTGCATCAAATGTTGAGGAAAAAGTTGGTATGCTTAATAAGGCAGCACCAGTTTTGGGGCCACGATTAGATTTAGACCCAGATATAGTTGCTGCAATGGATGATGATTTCGATTTTGATGATCCAGGAAATGAGCTTGAAGATAATTTTATAGAATTGGCTAATGCTGGAAGTAGCGACAGTGAGGATTCTGACAGAGAATATGGTAAATTTATTGAAATATTCGATAATATCATACAAATTTATTTAATTTTCTTATAATTTTGCACTTTTAGAATATGAATTAAATGAATCAGAGAATGAATATAGTAAATCAGATGTCTCATCTGATAATTGCATGGATTTATCCAACGAGGAAGCAGATGAAGTATGCAGTTTAAATGGACCTCAATACTCTTTTAAGGATGAGGAAACTAAATCAAGGTTTACAGAATATTCTATGAGCAGTAGCGTAATGAGGAGAAACGAACAACTTACATTGCTGGATGACAGATTTGAAAAGGTTTATATTATATATTTATTTTTTTAAATATGACATTATTGTATGTTCTTATCTTTTCTTGTTTATTGTATAGCTGTACGCTGCATATGATGAAAATGAAATTGGTGCTTTAGATTGCGACGAAATAGAAGGATATATCGCGCATGACTCGGATCTTGTCATGCAGTATGCTGCAGAATTTGAAAAGAAACAAAGAGAAGACGTAAGTATTATGTAAAAATATAATGAAAATATACTATTTTCTCTCATATTTGTAGACGGAAAATATCGCAGAACTTATGAAAGATCGAATGAAGATTGTGGAAAGAGAATATTCAAGCTCAGACGATGAACATTTTGAAAAACTTCTTGTTACTGCTCGTGGAAAGGATAAATGGGATTGTGAAAGTATTCTTAGCACATACAGTAACATTTATAATCACCCTAAATTAATATCAGAACCTCCTAAGGTAAAAATTAATAATTAATATTATTAAAAATTACATATAAGAATTATTCATTCTATAACACCATAATTCACATATATCTATATAAGAAATTTTTTGTGTAATATTTATTTTTGTAATAAACAAGTATAAATATATATATATATATCTATATACTATATATATATGTTACTCTTTATACTATACTTATTAATTTTATACATTTGTGTTTCTTTTTAATAGCAACCAAGAAAAATTGAAATAGATCGAAAATCTGGTATTCCGAAAAACATATTAGGCAATACTGGAAAATTAACAGCTGAAACTTTGGCTCAATTTGATATGGAAAATAATACGCTAAAGGGCCCACAATCCGTAGCAGAAAGTAGAAAATCTACCTTAAGTATTCTAAGTATAAGGCCCAAAGGGGAAACTCCTGACGGGAGAAGAGAAAGAAAAAAGCAGCTTAAAGAATACAGAAAAGTAATTTTATTAAACATCTATTGTGGATAAATTAATTAAATTTTATATATAACTTCTTTATATATAATTTCTGAAATTTCTTCAATTTTAGGAAAGAAGGATAGAACGAAAGGCAAACACCGAAGCGTTTAAAGAAGAAAAGAAACGCCAAGAGAAGATTCGATTGAATAACAGACAAAATATTCAAGGAACTCGTATAGTATAAAATTGTCAAAGTTATGTTTTGCAATTATGACTACGTCTTAGGTTGCAGATTTAACAACTTTGATTTTATTTATAAAAAATACCCATTGCACAGTCAAAAGCAATGGAGATTCCGACACTTTTTTTTGAATGAGTTTAAGAATACGCGGTTAAGTTCAAGATGCGGACCTCTCTCTTGTGCAATGAATAAATATGATTGTATGAGATTTGTCAAATATCTGTATCTCTCATCCAAAAAAGTGTTGCAATCTTATTGCTTCTGACTGTACATTATATAAAAACGTTTCTCTGATAGGTTAAATATATATCCATATTTCATAAAAATATTTTATTTAAATAATTTTCTGTATATTAAAAATATATATGTATGACATATAAAAATTATTGTATCAACTATGTATCTTTACTAATTTTCAGTAAAATCTTTCAATTCTACTGTTAAATCTATCTTCTAGTTTTTTAGGTTGAGCAAAGAAAGAATAAAGAACTTTATTTTGTTGAATTATTGTATTAGTAACTTAACTGGTGGCCAACTGATGTCACAATCCGTCTACATGGATTATTCATATAAGACATCAAAAAGAAGCGACCAAGAATGCCAAGTTTTCATTGCAGTAAAAAACATTAAATTTATCACATAAGCGCTTTAAAAAAAAAACAGTTGAAATTCATTCATATGAATTCACAATTTTCTATTATTAAAAAACATGATGTAAAAATTACATATAACAATATCGTTATAATAATAAGTTACTGTTATAATATTACATCGTGATTTCTTAATTGAAAATAATAATATGTTGTTATTTTATAATGTTAATTCTTGCACTGTTTCTTCTTAATTAAAAATAGTGAATAGCTTACCAAGACTATTATTATTATCATTTTTTAAGTATTATTAATTTTTATACCGTGTGAGAAACTGAAAACATACTCGTGTGTAGAAAAGCAATCAAATCAGGATTGTGCCATAGGTTTTAAGATTACGTCTACATGGATTATTTACGTCAAATCTATGTGATGATTACATGGTCTTTTTGCTATGTAGACTATGTAAACTATAAAAATCTATACAATATGTAATATACAGTTCTATTTTTGTAATATATATATATATATATATACAGATCTATTTTGTAGATATACACATTATAGATTATAATATCAATTTCTGAGATCAGGGCAACTTTAAATTGCTACAACTTCGTTGAAAATCAATGCTGTTTACCAAATTTTTTCTCAAATCATGAAAATCTAACCTATCAGTTTATTGTCTACATGGTATACTTATTGTCTACATAGATGACATCTTATACAATAGTTTACATTGTATACGCGCGGACGTAAAATATTATTATAATTTACGCGTAGCTACACAATATTGAATCAAATGATACGGAAAGTGAAGTGGAACCACGTGAGCGAGCACGAGAATACGGAGCGCCGTCATTTAAGGCGGGGCAGAGGACGGAAGCTCTAAAGTCATATGATCGATTCGTGACAGAGCTCGTCGTTCTTGACTCGTAAAGATGGCTAGTCAGACACAAGGTATTCAGCAGCTTCTGGCCGCCGAAAAACGCGCTGCCGAGAAAGTCTCGGATGCCAGAAAACGTAAGTGCACTTGTCGGCGAGTCGCGCCGAAATATTTCGGAGATGTAAGAAAAAATGTGTCGCAATGCAAGTGTGTTAACCCTGATCACTGTAACTTTTTGGCTACGATGTTGACTTTTTCTGAAATTAACGTACAATACAATGAATTTTTTACTTTTTTTCCAAAGCCGTGAAATCTGTGGAGAAATCATTTTAATTGCATTGTTCAGTGATTCGCGAAATTACACTTGAATTACAAGGAACCTTTTAGCTAACCTACGCGCGATATTTATATTATTATTAATTATACTCGTCTACATTTACGTAAATTCAGACATCTATTGAATGTTGTTTAACTGCATCTAGCTTTGATTAGCGGAGTTGCGATTCTTCTTTGAATTTTGCTTTGTTACATAGATGTCCTGAATTAATGGTTATATGCGTTAAAGTATATGTTCATACATGCTAATATTGATAAAATAATGTTAAGATTAAATTGAACCAGAATGTGTGTAATATTTTTTATAGTGATTTAGAACAGAAAAAATTTGGACTGTATCATTGTAATTTCTCTTTTACTTTTACAGGCAAAGCACGTCGTCTGAAACAGGCCAAAGAGGAAGCCCAGGATGAGATTGAAAAATATCGACAGGAACGAGAAAAACAGTTCCGTGACTTTGAAGCCAAGGTAAGTGTCGTTTTTCTTGTATTAAGATTTTCACTGTTAAATTTATGTACCAATGTTTAAGTTGATGAACAACATAATAATAATATTATTCGTAGCACATGGGTTCAAAAGAGGATGTAGCTGCACGTATTGAGGCAGATACAAGACTCAAGATAGAAGAAATGAATCAGAAGGTTGCTGTGCACAAAAACGAAGTAAGTTCGCTGTGTGTAAATTTAAAAGATAGATTAAAAACAGGTATCCGTGAAACTACAATGTCAACTCTCTGTATAATTTAGGTCATGCTTAAAATCTTGGACTTGGTGTATGATATCAAGCCGGAACTGCACAATAATTACCGCATTGAGGTCTAAGCCACAAGAATCACATCTAATATAACTATAAATATACATCTTACGCTCTATAAATATCTATTAAATATTACTGTTCACCATATCTCAATATGTATTTATCGCTGTTATATTGTATGACATGTTATATTTTATCTGAGAAACTGTATACAGTGTAGTTGTAGGCAGTGATACTCAAACTCTATTATTAGAATTCTTTTCTCTCGCAGTTGCTACACGACAATAAATGTAATCATATTGTTATTACCGCTGAGCTTTTCACCGGCACATATTCGAACAGTTTGAGAATTGCTGTAATGTAGTAGCATCGTAACAAAGAGAAAAGAAAAAAAAAGTAATATAGATTTCAACAGAATATTTCGACCTGATGCGTCAAGGCCTAGACACATCAGGACGATGTACGATTGTTAAGATGGATACGATTAAAGCGATTTAGGGTGGTGGTATAACAAGTTGTATGTCGTTTAGTATATGCCATTAGATGTCATTCCATGGTCTGTTACATCGAGGACGCGCTATGAGATTTTTCCCTACAGCCTCTCGCGGTTCACGGACATGCTCCCAGTCGACGGTGGACTACGCGACGATGTAGCAACATTCAAACTTCTCATCTTTTAGCGAGAACTTTTCAAATCTCTGTTAATCTTGCGATGGGCAGCTTTGCCTTACATGTATATCCTTGTCTCTGTGAGCTGGTTGGTTGTCTGTACAGTATTAGTATACAAAATATAAAAAGAGGAAAGAAAAACTAAAAAATTATTTTTTACCCTTTTTATATTACTGCTATTTTCGGAGGACTGTATAATAAGCTCGAAAATGTTGATCATCTTGAGAAGAGAAATATATATAACGTTAATGAGAGGAGAACTTTTACGTTTTCAAGAAATAAAACTAAAAGAAACGTATTACTTGATTAATTTACAATGTGTATTGTAACAATTGTAAAAAAGATCCTCTATTTGATTATATAAGCATTTTACTTTTGGCATGTATAATCTTTTTTTCCGATATGTGCTGTCGAATTTGACAATTAATTGTGCTGTAGATTCGATTAGTGGAATATTTAAAGAATTATCGCAATAAAATATTGAAAGGTTCGTTAAACCTCGATCAATAACCACGTTATCGGTTTTGTTGATTATTGATGACGCATGAAAATTTAACAATGCGTCGGTCTTCCTTCATGGTTTCAGCATTTATGCATGTTGTTTTATAATTTACAATTACAAGTTCGAGCTAATTTCTCTCCTGGTACAACAATTGCACGATTATCGTTATATATATATATATATTATCGAATTACTCTAACAATCAATGTAAAATTACAATAAAACTTGTGATTATATATAATTTTCTTATTGTATGATTAAAATCAAAATCTGATATTAAACTTTTTCTTAAATAACGTGTGCAATGCAGAAATATTTTTATAAAAAAAAAAACACTTTCAAGACTTTATAAAAAAATACATTTCTATATATAAAAAATATAGCAAAAAATAATGTATTTCGTTGGTTTCTCTTTTCTATGATATTTTTTATGACTGGTTAAAAATCAGTTTAATTAAATCAGATTAAATAAAGCTCCTTACATTAGATAAATTATTACTGGCTACAATCGAAAGCGTTTATGATCTTAATAGCAATATCTTAAGATGCGAATGCAGTCCTCTGATTTGTTCGTGATGTCTTAAAACGATACTTAAGACGATCTATACGTTCGGTATTTATGTAGTCAATTCTTATATTTAAGACCGTCTTAAATACAATCCTTAAGATGTTATAAGTCAATTTTAAATGATCTTAAAACAAGAACGGACTATGAATTAGTCGGTATTAGCATCTTAAACATTTAATCTGTTTATTTATTCATAATCTTGATTAACTTTCTATAAATATATTGGTCTACGTATAGAAAATTTGATTGGCCGATCAATTTGCGCGCGCCGACGCACACGACTATTTTATTTGAAATAAGAATTTATTTTCTACTTTCCTTCCTCGCACTGTCTTTTGCAAATTTTCACGTAAATTTTCAAATGTCTATTCAAATTCTTATAAAGAATATTGGATGAATTGATATACAGTTTGCTGAGAAGCGCGAAAAAAGCATCTAACTTTCAAATCATTCACATTTTAAATTTTCTCAATTTTGCGCGGCTGTTTGACCGCCATGACAGTTAGATTTTACTGTTCGGACGAAGAAGGTCACCGCTCCGTGAATAATCGCGAATTTGTGTCGGAAGTGTCAATTAAAGCGACGGGTGTATAATACAACTACCGCAAGTTCGTCGTATTTAATCGAGATTACTATCGAGAATACTATAATCGAGACTGATATGAGAATCTAAGTGAGTGCGAAAAAATGAACGCCGATCTCGCCGAGAATGTATAGAACGAGTCGTGCAACGTTTCTTTTCGGACAGTCGCGGTACGAACAACCATTAGAGAATGTATCGAAGAAACAGATTGTGTTGTAAATACTGCTCCTAATGGAAACGATCTGCTAAACACAAATCGTATATCGTGCAACGAAACGCGATTTATTTCCATGTTTCAACATGGCGGTACGAATATATGCGTTTATTCAACGCGCATAAAGCGCGCGAAACAAGTTTCGAAGTTGTGAGTAATGAAGTGTGTATCCTGTATCGTTTCCTGGATGAGATTTACGAGGGCATTTTCTGAGAAGGAACTAGCGAGGGAATGAAGGAACCTACCGTACCCTGCAGGTGAGTTATATTAAATTAATTATTTATACGAACTCGTTTTCTAAATTAATATGTGCATAATATTGCAATGACGCATCTGCACGATTGTAAAAGATTTATATATCAGATATTAAAATATTCTTAAAAGTATCAATTTTAAGGAATATTGTTTTTTTACGCGTCACGTATAAAATATGGTATTTGCTGAACACTTTTTTGAAATAATCGACAAATGAGTGCAATGAAATTGATAATTGATTAAATTAATTAAAATGTATTGTTAATTGTGACAGGTGAGGATGTAAATACTAAAATACAACGTTGAATTTCCGAACTAAATTTTATTAATATTATATATATCTCTTTGTTGCCAATTATTAAAGTGACTTCGACCAAAATTCGATTAATTTAATTGGTAATTGACATATAAATGTATTGTTTTATTATTGTATTTTAACATAGAGATAAAATTATAAATTTTGTTATTTAATTGTGACAGGTGAGGATGTAAATACTAAAATACAACGTTGAATTTCCGAACTAAATTTTATTAATATTATATATATCTCTTTGTTGCCAATTATTAAAGTGACTTCGACCAAAATTCGATTAATTTAATTGGTAATTGACATATAAATGTATTGTTTTATTATTGTATTTTAACATAGAGATAAAATTATAAATTTTGTTATTTATAGATAATATGTAACATATTATATTAATTAGTTAGAAATTTTGTTAGATCTACTGCTTAAATTCAGAGGAAATAATGTTTTCTATATTCTTTTCTATTTCAGACAATGCCGATAATGCGAAAGAAGCATTTGAAGAATCAGAATATACGTACGTGTACAAAGTACAAAATTACAAATAGAATTCCATTTCGAAAGCTGATTTAAATTATAAATGAGATTCGCATTTTGTAGGCTTTGGACATAAAACAATGATTCCAAAGGTCGCCGTTGCACGTTTTGTTTACGCGTGACGCATGAACGTTGTGTACGCCACTGGTGGGGTGGCCATGCGCGCCGCGCGCCGCCGCGCGTGGTGGTAGGGATGATCAGCTGTACTTAACTCCCGTCCCCGTGAGGTTGACGCGCCGCACCGCGCCGCACACTCGACGGTACGTGCTCCGCTTGCTTGTGTTCGTGTGCCAGTCCCGACGGTAGTGTCAGCTGCGGCGCTAGCGCCACTCGATCGAGCGGCCGGAGAGCGATTCGATTTCGCGAACTGACCCGCGGCGGCGACGAGCGGTTAGTGCGTGTGCCATTCCGTGCCGAGAAATGGAAGCCGACGAGCCGCGTTCGGTCTCCGACACGAGAACGAGCACGTTGTCGACGTCGTACGTAGTCGTAGCGCGCGAGCCCGTCGCAGTGACAGCTGTGCACGTACGTAGCTTTTGAAGTTTTGTTATGACAAAGAACGTACCGCCGGGCACGACCGGTCGCCGACCAGCCGCGTATCCGGAGAACGAGAGACTGTTGTTATTGTTACTGTCACCTTCGTTATCGTTATTATCTTCGTTGTAAACGAAGTCGCGTCGGGCGCGATAACAGTGCACATTGGTTCTTGTGAAGAGGAGAGTCGCCGGGCTACGGCGAGGGATTAATTCGACGCAGATTCGAAGGTCGCCGAGGGAGGAGCGATCGCGAAGATGTGGTGCCTCGTCAGTCAAGCCAACTCCGTTATCCTCGAGGTACAGGTCGACCCGAAGGCCATCGGCCAGGAGTGTCTCGAGAAGGTAAGTCGTACGCTTTTGTTCTCCTTCACAATGGACAAACTGCTAGCGTGACACACACACGTACATATTGTGTATATATATATCTATTATATATACTCTGTACATAATACATATATACACCACACATACATCTATTATGTAAAATAACAGCAAACGTTTGGCAATCCGTTTCTAGCTATACGCAAGTCGAATTTGATAATAAACACCAAATAATTGTTGGTAATTTTCGTCCATTCTCGTCCGCGCGTCTCCGTGTTTACGCCGTACAATATTTACCTGCTAGGCAAATCAAATGCGCCGCAAAACGCAAATATGAAACGCTTATCTTGCCATACAAGTTACATATCAGCAATCCAGATACGCTTCGTGTTAATGGACTCCAAATTTACCTCGAAATTATGTCCACGAGGAGATATTTGATTTCACACATTTGATTTTTCAGTTAAACTTGATTATCACGTATCTTGAATTTGATCAAATCATATCAATAAATCAAATAATCTAATAATAAATAATAGTTTAGCCTAATTGTATTTGCGAGAAAATATTCGACTCACAGATTTGTTTCACGGTTATACGATATAGTAGTCTAATTATATTTACGAGGAAATATTTGATCATATATTTGCTTTTTCATTGGAATTAATCGTTCTGTCTCTTTCAACGTCAGGTCGAACATTAATAAATAATACAGTATGAATGATGTGTCCTCCATTAATGATTTATCCTAATAAAGTATAATATTGTTTAATTTGGTTTAAAATACGTGTATAATATACGTGTAATTTAATTATAAAAGACAATGAGAGACGTATGATAAAATAACAAGACATGTTTTATTAAATACAATTTTTTATTTTCTACAAGATAACGTCTGTTGTAATGTATTTCGGGAATCAAAAATCCCAGAGAATGTAACAGGACGTTTATATTTGTTGGCATATTGTTTGGCAAGTTTGACCTTGTTTTCTTTTTTCGGAGGAAGGAGAATGGTATTGTCCATGTAACACCAAATTACAATTAATCAAAATCCACTGGAGAAGAACAGTGTGTGAAGTCGAATTGCTCCCCGTTCTTGTCGACGCCTGAATGATTCATCATGCAAACTCCTCCCTGGAGTATTTCAGACGCGACGCGAGTCGGGTCGGGACAATTGTACGCGTTTTGCAGAGAGTACGTCCTCATGTTGCGCAACAACGCCTCGAGGCGTAGCGAAACTTGCGATTTCGTACAGAAAATCGCGGGAGCGATGTACAGTGCGATTCACAAAGACAGAAATGACAGTACTCG